TCAGAGAAACACACCTAAGTAAGGAAAGATTTTTATTTTTTTGGACAAAAAATATTATTTTACATATCGAGAAATTACAGTAAAAGTCAAAACCAACCTTGTTCCAGTCCTCAATAGTCTTTTGTCGGTGTTCCTTAGCCCAGACAAGACGATTTTTTTTCATCGCTTCAGTTAAGCGAGGTTTTTTGACGGGGCGATGACCTAACAATCCTTCTTCTGCCAATCTCCGCTGCACCGTTCTCTTGGAAACTTGTATTCCTGACTCTTGAACTAACTGGGTTAAAAGACCAGCACTTTTTTTTCTGTTTCCCAGACAAATATCCCGAATCACCCTGTCAGATCGCGGAGTTGTAATTCTTTTTCTTCCACTATGACCTTTACGTTTTGGCGAAAGTGGTTGATTTTGTTCCAATTTTTTTTTAATTTTATTTACTGCCGACTTGGAAACTCCAGCTATGCTATATTACAAGCACTTTTTTACATAATACGATTTGTAAAATTGTCACTAACTACTTTTCAAATTCAATTACGTGGTCTCTTTCACAGCCAGTCCACTGCTACCTGTAGAAAAAAAATCGCAACTATGGAAAACAGATGTAAATACATAATTAAATCAATAATACATTTATCGGATTAATAAGTGTATCAAAACCTGGCAGAAATGTTTCAATAACTGAAAATGTAATGCGGTAAAAAATAGAGGTAAGATCACGGTTGCCCATCAGTTTATCTTCTCAAGACAGTATATTTTTCACAGTAATATAATAATATCAATTTCAACATCAAAAGTTATTTATATTATTAAAATATAATTACATAACAATATGACAATTATTAAAATTATTCATAGTCTTCGTTACTAACTTCATAAAATCTCGTTTTAAAAGTATTTAAGAATACTTAGAATCACGATCGTATTCGTATCGTATTACAATACACAAGTGATCAATTTTTGAAAAATTCACCTATAATAATAATTATTATAATTATTTACACACTAATTACATAGGAAGATTATTTTATCAAGCGTTAGATTTGTGTTTTATTACATATTCAGTTAAAATAACGTCGAAGCACAGCTGTTCTAATTCCGCCATTGGATTTGTTTTTGGCTCTGCTCCAACTTTAACACAATAAATTATTCTTCATTAGGTAGTGCGGATTGTACTTCCGCACTCACTTTAATAGAAAGTGGCAGAATGTCCAAAGTTTAACACTCCTGTTATTTCCACCAATGGAAAATATAACCTAAATAAGGTTTTTTATTTAATAGCATTTTACCCGCGACTTCGGTGCCTAAATTATGGCATATGTGACCCGATTATATTGCTTCCTGTAAGTGAAATTTATTTAAATCTTTCATAAGATCAATCACGAGATCAATTCACAAATTTTGGACAAACATGAAATATGAAAATATTTAAATATAAATTAGCACCTATTTTACATTTATTTGTGTTTGAGGACTGTGATGGCGTAATCGTTAGCGCGCCGTAGGTATAACATTTTTTAAACTCTGTCTAATACTTTCAAAATATATTCAATATAAACAAAAATATATTCTTTCCTTTCATAATACGATATTATTATAGAATATTCAGACGTCCTAAATTGAATAAGGTTGACCTTCATTTCATCATTATCCACTTTGTCATGTAATCTATCAAAATATTTTAGTATTCCAAGACTTTCTAATAAATAAATTATAATTGGACTTTTTTTTTTCTATTTTTTTAAGGACTTTTATCTTTAAGATATGACAGTCCTGTCGTACCCTAAATATACATAATCTACAGCTATAATTGGAATTATAAAATAAAGTACTATCATACTCCAATTCGTAGGGTAAAAGAAAATAATATGAGCGAGGGTATTATTATTCAAGAATTTTATAATAAACCAAAAAGCAAGGAATAAACACTAAATAAACTTTGCAAGACAGCTTTGCCATCAGACCGGAGTGCCTACGTGCTGCGTCTAGCCGCACTCTTATATTAAATTTTATTGCTGGAATATATTATACTGCACTGCATGGAGGCTTTAGCGGGTATAGGCATGACAGCTAGTTTTTGTTTGTTTCCATCAGGTCCATCAGGTACATTGTTGAAACATATTAAACAAGTAATTCTATCTATCATTCATTCACATCAACGCACTTTACATATGAAAACTTTTTAATTTTCAATAATTTTTTATTCAATAAAATAAGAAATTAAAAAATTGAGAACATAAGCTTTGTGACTTATTCGCCGGGGCCAGGGAGCAAATTTCGCAAGGTTTGGTAACGCGATGGGTGAGCAAACAAAAATATCTCGAGCTGCTCCGTGCTTTGGAAGGCACGTTAGGCCGTTAGTCCTGACTGTATTTGGAGTTGTTAATAGCCTCCAATCCTTAGTAGGCCAACATGGCCCATCCTCCTTATCCATCCACATGGAAGGCCTGAACTCTTGCAGTGGGGGCTAAAAGGGCTGATGATGATTATGAAAATAAGGAAATAGATTCAAATTGTATTGTGCAAAATTGACAGTTAACTTTCAAAGGTTATTAATTTTTATTGTTAGATGTTAATGTATAATTTTTGTTTGAGCATCATAAAGCTATTCATTTGTGACGGGTTCAATTCTTAGGTAAATGAAAGGCTGACTGAGATATATATTATAGTGTTAATAAAAAAACTGTAACAACAACAAAAAGAAAATAAAAAACAGTAACAATGGATTCTTAAAATTTTGATAAAAAGTAGTTAGGTAAAACAGTTACGTATCCCTTCCTCGGATTGTAGATACAAATAGAACTTAAATAATATGTTACATTTTTCTTTACTGATTTATAATACGTGAAATTACACTACTAATAATTTTTGTATTTTGATAAATTTTAGCACTTTTTTGTATCAGAAATTGATGCTATGTTTTCAATCTTGCTCTTCATCACGTTAATCAAAATTTAAAATTACGAAAAGTGAATATTTGAAGAGAAATTATGTTAAATATCAAAGACAAAAAGTTTCCATGTGGAAACGTAGGACTAAAGGTAACGGTATGGTATGACGCACCGTTACACAGTTTTTGCTCGAAACCATGTTTTTCTACAGTGAAAGTTGTAGTAAAATACAGAACCTCCTATATATTTCATACAGAGTTGCATACGTTATTCAAAAAAATTACTTTATGAATGTTGGATCACCTTCCGTTAGAAATAAACTTCCTTCGGAATAAGAGTTAAATCTAGAGCTGACTATGATGTACCACCTAATGTACCAAGGGAACCTAGTAAGAGGTATAACTTCCTACTATTAAGATATTTATTATCAGCAGACTAATAATTTATTTAAAATCACTTATATATATAAAAAAAATATTGCAGAGAAGTGTCTATATATAACTCTGTTTGTTATAAAATTACCGTACTTGTATTTTGTTTTCTTTTTGAAAGTCTCTTTAACCTGCATGTGTTAAAAATGTACCCATGTCCAATTTTATACTTAAAAATATGGGTTTATATAAAAGCTATATTGATTTTAAAATAAATGTACCTCTGCTTATCGCATCCATCATATCAAATAACTTTTAATTAAACTCTTGTTTTAATAAATTTTATAAAATTATTTTCAATATCATCACAGCGATGGTATTTTTTAAAGTAATAAAACCCTTTACTTTTTTTAGATAAATACGTGTATCATTAAAACCAAGTTTGAGGCTCACTACATAATTAATTACAAAACAAATGAACTGAATGGAGAGAATGCTGGTAACAAGAATGGTAAAACTGATACATAATGCAAAAGTAGAAGGGAGTAGAACCCGAAGAAGTCCATTTACAATCATGGAAAATGGGCATGTATGGAAAAAGTAAATAAAGTGGAAGAAAAGGAAGATGTATGTAGGGACCGTGCTTAGAGGCGCTTGGTAAGCTTGATAGAATAATGATTGAATAAACTGAAATCATACAATTAAAAAAAAAAATATCTTGGATAATTGTTATCTGTTTAGTAAAGAGAGTAAGGCATTGATTAATTGAAAAGAGAACCCTTGAGACTCGACGCGAAGCGGATCAAAATAGTTTCAGGGTGAAATAAAAAAAAAGCAATAACGTAATCGTCATATTGATGATGAACGATGTCGTCATATTGATGATGAACGATGTCGTCATATTGATGATGAACGATGTCGTCATCATGACATACTATCTCAGTTTTGTACCATAATGTCAAATTACCCTATAATTGTACCCAGTAGATATACTAAAATTTTCTAATTTAACTTGGCATCTATATGGCCAACATCCTATTGTGTTTGCTACTAAAATTTGCAGTTAGCATGCCTCGGGGTCTCATTAAACCTAAACCCTAATTTAGCTTGCATAAGTTCGTAATGTGCTGTGTAATTTTTTTTTTTTAATTTAATATTTTCGAACCAGCTTTAAAAGTAAAACATTAAAAGAGATAAATTTTTCACAACTTCTGTTTCATACATTATCCTGTATTATTTCTTTACAGCACAATAATTTATCTTATTATATTATTCCTTTATAGATTACTGATGCGTAATAAACTACATATTTTGTCAGAGTAACAATCGGAATTAAAAATCTGTATTGGAAAAGTAAATTGTAACAACTTAAGTTAAGATTCTATGTAAATTAAATTATTCAAAATTCGCTCACAGTAAAAACAAAAGTTTGCGAGGAAGAAAAAGTATTGGGAAACTCAATCACAGCAGAGTGACATTTCAATTCCGTTTTTTATTTTATAGACTAGTTTTGCCGCGACATTTTCTGCATAAATTATAGCCCATTTACACACGACTATGGCCCGTACATAACCCATCACATGGTCCAAATGCGGATTGGTGCATGTTAACGACAGATGCAGCCGGGTTCGTATAGGTAATCCGTATAGTTTTGTAACAATTTTTTACTATATATAATATTTACATTCTTACTGCTGAAAAAATGCTCTTGGTCCCTGGCACTTGGTCCAAATGGAACGTATATATTTACCTTGGAAAAATAGCTTGTAAGTCGGTATGTACCGGAACGTGAGTGGTGTGTCGTAGATGTGGTGACATATTATCCGCTGCATTTATAGCACGAATGCGCGCGCGCAGTCGCTCATACTGCTCGGGTTGATACTGGGCTGCTATTGTTACAGCAGTACCTGAGTATTGCTGTACATAAAAAAATATATGTTAGTATGATTTCCAAAGACCAATGTTGTCGTAAAACTTTGGATGTGTAATGATCGTTTTCAGTCAAAATTAAATAATCAAATTATTATTATATCTAAAACTTTTAATTTTATAAGTTACTTAAAAATTTAATATCAGTAATTTTATTAATAGTACTACAACGTGAGTACAGCGTAAGTCAACGAGATTAAGTTAGTTAAATTAGTTAAAACATATTTAAAATGAAATGACCTCCGACGTTATGCGCTCATTTTCGGTCTAGGACGAGATATAGTTTCGAAACCAATGACTTTTAGAAGTTGATTTTCAGTAAACACGTATGATACAGTATCCAAACCATACTAAGTTTGTTAATAATGCCACGAGTTTTATGGTATGACATTACAAACATGATTTATTATTTCATATTAATACCGCTACATTTTGTTATTCAACAGTCCTTTGATTAAAATGTCACAAATAAATGATCTAATGAAACACGATTCATATGTCTATGTTTGCTAAGACATCTCTACTAATTCAAGTTCAATTACAATCACATATCAAATGTTGACCAAGACAACAACGCATTTCCTCCGTGTCATCTTGTTAATACCTTCAGTGCCGCAGCGGCTTGTTCATGGGTCGCCCTGGTCAGGTCACGTCCGTCTACGCTCAGTATCCTGTCTCCTCTGTGTAACATGCCATACGCCGCACCACCCACTGTCACTCCTGATACGAATACGCCGCACGCATCGTCGTCTGTCCCCTGTACCCCTTCCACTTCGCCCCCTAGTCCCCCTACTATATCCATGCCTAATCTAGATCCTGAACGCACAAGCCTAACCATGCGGACGCACCTGCGGATGAATAGATTTGTTAAAGTTTTAATTATATTACAGCATGATATCTACAATAAAGTATAATATATGATTTTAAAATTTCTTCATTTCTCATAAAATATGGAATATAAATTAAGGGTTAAGAAGAGGCCTTCCATGATGTCAGCTTGCCCATAAGCAGCTTATTCTCCAAGCTTCAAAGATGATAACCAACACATGCTCTTGGGAATACATATATACGTAACTAGATATTTTATCCTTTGGATGTGCGCATTAAACTTATATAAAAACTTCCTAATAACATATTGAAATCACATTAATAGCATAATTAAAAAATGTTATTAAAATATATCATTAGTCCAAAACAAAATTCAAACGATCAGCTAATGGAAAACACTGGTATTTACCAACTTGTTAGAGGAATGGCAGCAAAAAGCTTATCAATCATTTACAGAAGTAATAAAAACTGAAAATAACCATATACACTAGAGTTTTAGGGAGACGATAGCGCAATGTCATTATGTAATAGTGTGACATAGATATTGCTGCAACCAGCGATCTCGCCCCACATGTGCGAAGTTATTTGTGTGTCATTGTAACCAATGCCAACATTGACGAGTGTAGCGGACGCCTCGTAAAAATCAACCAGTGTTTCAATACCCAAAGCTTATTTGAATCCAAACAAGAAATCTAATACAAATGGAGTTTTATAGGTTTCTTTTAATATTGGATCAATAATCGTAGCTGGATTCAGAAAGAAGGCTTATTCTTTGATGTAACGGAATTAAATACACACGAGAAAACTTTTAGGTCGACGTGAAAATATCAGAGGAAAGGTAATTTGCGCAGGTAATAAAAAGCTTTTTCTATTAGAATCTCATACGTGGAACTCGGAGTACTAATCAGTTGTTTTCATTTCATTTCGTGGGTACGATTTCGGGACTTTTAGCATAATAAGATTTGAATACGAGTATATCTCATACAAAGCTTTGTATATATAAGAGTGTTAACTAACACTTATGTTTATACAAGGTTAATTTTTAAGTACATCTAAAATTCGAAGAGGAGTATCAGAACACTAATATATTATATATGTGCATAACATGAAATCATCAAAAACTCGCAAATCAATTATTCATTTCATGATTTACGAAACATTCTTTTACTTAATTCGCAATGAAAAATTTAAACAAATAAAGTCATTTTTTATTATATTTGTTTCATTTTGCATTCACATTGCTATACTGAAAATACGCTCTGTAGTAGCGAAAAAAGTGCTTGAAAATATCGTCAGTCCTGTTAGGTCCTGGGTAGCTCAGTCGCTCGAATTGCGAAAGGACATTTGTTCGAGTCCCATTTCAGAGTGCCAGGGACAAAGTGGATTTTTAAGCATATTTCATTCAGAACGAAATAAGTAAACTTTTGCGACACAAGTAATTTAATAAATATTTTCATTTTTTTTAACTGCACTTTTTTAAAAGTGACAGAAAATGACATTATTTTTTAGATGTATTTAAAAATTTACGCAGTATAATGTGTCAGTAAATAATAATCAGATTATATATCTTTTTCGTGATATTCATAATAATTGAAATAATAAATATCCTCTGTCGGTTGATTTTGTTCTTTAAAAATCTTCGAACTCTGAAAAGATATCGGAAAAGTAAAGAAAGATAACATTTCAACACAATAGACGAATTCCAAATACAATAATAGTATGAGGTCTTAATAGTGCTTGCTGTGTTTATAAATACTTTAAATGAAAAACATATTATATTTATCCACAATTACAAAAAAGGTTGAAGCATTAAAAATTAAAGTCAAAATGGAACGTAATTTCTTTTAGTACTCGCCAACTGAGAATACATTAGCTTAATTCACAAGAAGAATGAAACGTGCCCAGAAATTTTGAAGTTACCTTGGTATTTCATTTGGTTCCTCCTCTAAAAGCTCATGTAGTGTGGAGCACGATGTGGCCTGCGTTCGTGCTGCAACACGGGTTCATTAAATAAATATAAGACAAACGCCGTTGCTGCCTAGAATAACAAAATTGGATGTTCAAATTGAATTTTTTAGCGGCGTCTGTTAGAATTAAAAGTGCCTTTTTTGTTTCTTTAATTTACATAATAAATTGTATAGAACTTTGCAATCGTAGAACAAAGAAGATTCTGCATTGAGTACTTTGAAGTATTTAAATAAGATTTTATGTTTTCAAAGTCGATCCTTCGACCAAATTTAAGGTCAAAGACGTCTGTCTGATCTGATTCAAAACATATATATCTAATCATATATAAATAATTTTCTTAATAAAATGCTTAAAATTCCACTTTGTCTTTGCCACTCTGAGATGGGACTCGAACCCATGACCCTTTGCAATCCAGGTGATTGCGAGAGCAGTTTAAGCATTTTCATTAAAATATTTTTTAATGCAGAATGCAAAATTGATCAAATACAATAAATAAATATCAAGTTTATCTAGATTTCTCAAAACGTAATTATGTCATATTTTATAAATATTTTTTGCTAAACACATGAAAAAATATACTTGTCATTAAATTTCTAGAATTATCGAAAACCTTTGATTGAGGCTCATTTACATTGTTTGATTTTTCTTTATACGAAATGTTGGTTATTTTAATAACACAATACGTTTACTATTATTAATACATTGATAATTATTTAGATATTGAAATTTTTATATTTTGTTTACTATTACCAATTGATTTAATTTACTTTTTATCAATAATGGACATGTATGTATTGTAACATTTGAACGTCGTCTTGACTTCAAAATATACTGGACATTTAAAATTGTTAACAACCATATTCTAGCCAATAAAATTTTAATAATATTATTATACGGAAATACTCGCAGTCAGTTTAACAAATATTCCGTTGAGTTAACAAATATGCGTGTTATCTATTTTTGTAAACCATGCACGTCAATTTTATACCAATTTTTGGACCAACTCTTTGATTAGAGACCAAGTTACCACCAACGTCACCCTTGTAGGAACATCGGTTTTCAACCTTGTGGATCACACTTAGATAGAAGTTACATTACCTTAATTAGTTTCTGGTTCAATTTGATAAAGGAACGCAATTTCAAAGTAAATTACCTAACAGATAATTATGATACATAATCACAATTTTACGGCAGCTTTTTACGGCGCTTTACGATTTAAATTTAACATAAAATAATCCTCCTGCTTATATAACAAAACTACTAATTTCCAATTTAGTGTTATTTTATATAAATTAAGTGAGAATTTTCTGAAAACTAATATGTTTACTAGATAATAATTTATCTTCTTCTTTCTCCTGAATTTTATCATTTGGGGTCTATCCTCCTAGTACTATTGCGTAATTCCACACGGTTGTTGGTTGTCTCTTCCGTTGTATTGGTATGCATTATGTTATTTTTTTAATTTTTATTAAGGTGCTTGGCGGTATTCTACGGCCTCCTTTTCTCTCTTCAATTATCATCACTCTCTTTGTCATGTGACTATTCTGTCATCTCATCACATTTTCATACCATAGTAGTCGGTTTTACGATTGAAACTCTGGAAAATTAGTCTTAACGATAAGTTCTAACATTTTATGTAATGAATCCGTTATTTACATGTGTGACAAGATTAAAACAACACGCGTTCAGATGTATACTTAAATAAAATATTTTATTAGTAACTAACTGTTTTCCCGCGACTTCGCTCCTGTAAATTTTAGCGTATGCCACCAGTGTATGATGTAACTTGCCGTAGTTGTAAAGATTTTAAAAATCAGTGCAAAAGTTTCGGAATCTATTTGATGGAAGTAATCAAATCGTTTCCCTTTAAAAATTTCTGACTCGAAAACACTTTAATGAAAATCACGAGCTCTTGGCCCAATTTGTAATACTTCATTGAACATTCAATAATTTCTCTTCCCACGAACATTATACCTGTCGGTGTGTGTCTTCTTCAAACTCATATAGACATTACTCAAGCGGGTATTACAGATGAATAAACGAAATGCTGACACGTAAAGATGCCGTAGCATCTAAAATATGCCCATTCATTTTATACATATGAGAACACTTAAGCAATATACCTTTATCCGCAGTGCGGTAACCGCATATAAAATTTTCCCTTTTCGATATCACGAACCACTATTTTACATCTGCAACTGTTTAGGAGATGAATTGCACAATAAGTGCAGAGATTAAGCATATTTCGAAAAGACTGCTCATTGGATGGGTGGCGAAAAATTTATTGTTACGAGCTGCCATTAGTCTCCACTGCGTCTGTGTTTGTTAGCATCCAGTAATCCATACGAGGCTCGTGTGCCGGATTATGACCCCTACATCCTATACGTTTATACAAGTCTGAACGCCTAAAGTACGTATATCGATATTGATGCACTTATATCGATTTCAGATTGTGCGTTCGATCAGTTATTTGGAAATATAACATTTAAGCGCTTCTAAATTAGGTTTTTTATTGAGAGCTCTACTTTTCATCTCTCATCTTAAGACTTGAAATAATTAAAATAAGTTTACATTAATTATTGTAACTGATCAATTTTGCGTTCCGAATACTATGACCATCTCTGTAGATATATATGTGCCATCTTAGATCACCTGGGGTCGTGGATTTTTAGGCATCTTTCATTAAGAAATAAGTTTATATTAAGTTATATGATTTTTTTTTCTATCAATCAATCTGTTATTTTATTGGGACAAAGTTTATATATGATGGCATGTTGATTAATATTACTGTTACGTTACATTTAAAATTGTTCAAAATTAATATAAACGTAACTACTCTGGAGTACTAATTTATTGTCCTAAAAGTTTACACAAGTATATTTACTCATACGTAATTTTTTTTTTATAATATTATAATAGAAGAAAAATAGAGAGCAACCTGAAGGTTGGAATGAAATTTAGCAATCTGATGGAGTTGAAACGAGTACCTCGATGGCGTAATGGATAAGGGGCACTGCTCGCGATCATTGTTATTAAGCAACGGTTGGTCACGGGATGGGTGACAAAAAAATATTATCTCGTGCTACTCCGTGCTTCGGAAGGCACGTTAAACCGTTGGTCCCGGTAACATTTCCAGTCGTTAATACCCACCCTGAAGGCCAGGCTGCAGTGGAGACGTAGAACGGCTGATGATGATGAATCTGATGGAGAAAAGTTAGTAATATTGATCCAGCTGGGACAACTGGGTCTACTTCAATTTCCTTAATTCAATTTATGAATTTGTATAGGCTGGCATTATATATATCTAATGCCAGATTTTATTTAACTAACTAAAAATATTATGAATAAAAGAAAGAAATCGAATGTCTTACATAATGGGGTAATTTTCTAGTACACTTTCTATATTTAATTCAAAACACTTATATTTAAGTTATTGTGATTGATCAATTTGGCATTTACAGTGCTATACTAGCTCAGTAATAAGAGCAGTCGTCCGGATTGCAAGAGGTTGTGGGTTCGAATTTCATCTCAGATTACCTACGACAAAGTGGACTTTTTAAGTGGTTTTCATTAAGAATACACTTATATTTTAGTTAAAATAAACTTTTACCGAGATGCTTTCATTGCAATAAACACAAGAATTATAATTTTCTATATAAAAGCTAATTCATTCTTAAGTTAAAAAAACTAAATTTAAAAATCGAGAGAAAAAGCAAATTTTCTCACTTAAAAGTACTTAATCTAACCACATCTTTATCGATTTAAAAAAAAAAGATCTTTTCCTTTCCACATCGCTAACAATAAAGTAATCACTCTATTATAAAAATGTGCATGCATTTATAATAACAAAAAAGTAATAATGTTGCTGGAAATCGTATAAAGACATTATAAACCTTTTTTCAAGAGATTTATATTTATTATTAAAACGAATCCATGTACACTAAATAATATTGTTTTTGCCTTCTCAATCCTGATTATGAGCTATTCGTTATAAGTAACTACCAGACAGCGTCTTTTGTTTATTTATAAATATTTATTTAGGCGTATTGCATTATTTTCTTGGATATACCAGACAAGCTTTCTTTTATATAAGAATATAGGGCCCGTCCAATCTATTGTCCTGTATTTGTAAATTCATCATAGGCTCATAACTAAAGCACCGAAATTACACTAAACTATGATATGATACGTTTTTATGGACTTACTTACATATTTAATCGTCGAATTAGAATAAAACGACTTTAAAAAATAGCGTACTTTCAGGAGCCGAGCCTAGTCGCTATCACTAAAGCATTCATCGATAAAAACACATTTTAATGTTTTTAAAAGAACTGTTTTAATTTAAAAAGCCAATTATGCAATATCGTGTCATCAAAATGAATTAAATGAAATGCTTTTTTATTCCTAATCCAACAGTATAAAATTAATTAAATAAAAAAATCAGTTGTGTTATCATCGTGTAATTGTTTGTTTCTGGCTACCTCGTGGTTGACCAAGGCAACCTATGTGTTTCCTATTGTTCCTTTTGTGTTGTCTCGACTTATATCTTTATGAGACGGGAAAAGTTGATAGAAAGCTGAATAAAGAAAATTTTTTTAATGTCCGTCCCTGGTGTAGCAACCGATGTGTTTTATTAATGTACATTTCATTTAAATAAATTTTATCACAATAAAATAGCAAGTGAGAGTACATTTAAAAAAATATATATATTAATAATCTATTCATTGACATTATAATATTAATATATTTGTCATTAAAAGGCTTAAATGGATGGTAATGAAATATCATTTTAATTTATAGAGAATTTTATTAATGACTGTCTCGGCAGACCCTGTTTTACCACTTGAAGGCATATCAAAGAACACTCAGCGATAATCCCACTCTTTGGTTTTGCTTTGATAAACTTCAAATATTTGACAGCCGGGGATAGAGTGGTTGGGAAAGGAAATAGTCCTTTTTAATATTTCCACCCATCTTATGGAGAGTTAAAACACGAGAAAAATAATCCTTCCGATATATTACCTTACACAATAAAAATAAAAATATGTTGTTGTTCTCGAGTTTTGCACTTAGCAACACATTTAGCAATTCATTTTAGCAATACATTTTTATTTGTATAAATATGAATATGGTAAACTTTAATTATTTTGCTCCATTAAACAAAACTACTAAACTTTAGTTTTGAACTAAAAAAAAAAACTTTTATAAAGCAATAAAACTATGACTATGACACTTACTTGAGTAAAGTGGTGCAGTTCGCGCTACAGTTGGTATTGAACCAGCCGGTAGAACAACTAGGGTCACTTGCTCCCCTGTATTTCTTAGTGCGGATACTGCTTGTGCATGTGTTGCACCCACCAATGAAGTCTCTATGCCCTGGAAGAATAAGAAACCTTAATAAAGTGAGCACAAGGAGCATTCAACTAGTATCTCATTTATATATTCAAGGCATCGTAATTTTAATAGCATTGAAAAAATTATTGATATGCATAAAGTGTCAGAGATGTTTGCAAAAGCCAGAGTAGATTTCTTCTATGCAACTTTGCGTGTTGCGCGTCCTTAGTATGAAGGGTATGTAGGAGCGCCAACAGTATTCTAAATCAGATCGCTAGCAGACTGGACCGCTCATATAACGGTCATTGTAGTGCCTTATGTAGTGGCATGTCACGGTCATAAATTTAATTTGTTTCCACGTCAAGATGACGTCATTACTAATATAGTTTTAAGTTTGAAATAATGTTTCTACTAATAATTTGTGAGTGTATTTTACTTGAAATAAACTAATGTATTTATTTATTGAACTTTATTGTCTATAAAATGGTATAAAAGGTGAGCTTAATGTTTATAACATTATCTTCAAGTCAACCTTTGGGTAAATGGCGAACGCGTTGGCATAGAGCATTAAAAGATTATAACAAAATTAAAACTTACTTGTTCATAGCATATAATACATAAACCGATAATACAAAAATATCATATAATATTGATATATTTATATACAAATAATACGTATCATATAATTGTAGCCTGTATCTAATGTATTCCTTTACCGAACAGTGAAAAGGAAAGTCGATTTGAAATTAACGAAAATCATATTAAGTACCCTAAGTAATCGAACTAAGAACTAAATTGAGTTACCGCAAATTTCGAAGTTAGTTTCGTTCTCACTGTCCTTATATATACACAGTCATTTTATAATAAATTTAGAGTATTTTTCCATAGTGTAGTATATGAATATATTTATGAAGAAAAAAATCTATTTGATACGATTCCCTAGATCAAAATCAATGCACATTCACACACACACTCAACGATGAAAATAAAAGAATGTATAAATTTATAAGTCAAATATGTTGGTCAGAATTCAGTATTCGATTATATTTAACAATTTTTAATACTGGTAGTTTGAATAAAAACTAAATATATAAAGTAAAATATTATATTATAAGTCACGAATGTTAACAAATTGTCCTTTTATTGAGACTAAAAGGGCATCGAAATTATCAACTGTTACTTGGGTGCAAGATGATAGTCACACCATCCGCTTTGTACTTATATAACCATGTATCAGTTATCTCATGAAAGAAAATGTGGGGGTCGATATTATCACCCGACCGGGATTACCCGCTTTTATATCCTTTGCCCGTTCTTAATGAGGAAAATTTTACTTTGTTCTGTTGAAAATAACCAAGTTAGAACGTTTCACCCGATATAACAAAAGCTGTCGCGAATAAGTACTTAAAAATGTCAAGAAACTGAAAGTTAGCTGCTGGTTTCGATTCAAAGTTTCGACCCAAAATAGGTATATACTAAAACCTCAATGAAATTAAATTGTGACGCAAATGAGAAAAGTTTCTGAAGATTGATGTGATAAATTTTATGTTGGATAAGATTTAAGCAACATGAAACGGTCACAGGATGGGTGACCATAAATTTATCATCTCGAGTAAGCCGTTGGTACCGGCTGCATCTGCGTTCGTCAACACCCACCAATACGCACTGGACCCGCGTGGTGGATCGTGGCCCATTCTCCCTATACAATACGATTCTATCCACAGGGAAAACTCTGTGGGAATATAAGGCTAAGGATAATTAGCTTTTTAGAAATATTTGATTACGAGTTAATAAAATATGTTATTACTGAAAGTTATTAATTACATCCACAGCTGGAGTCATAGCAAAGGCAATGAACAAAAATGTTTTCTTAACTAATAAAGACAACCCCCGACCAAGTCCACAACAAATAAAGACAATTAAGTGTTTATCCAGCAAAATGACCAAATCTTTGCTAAACGTTTCCCCAAGCTTATTTATGTTCCATCATGAATAACATTTTTTTTACTTGTTATAAACACAGATTATTATAGTAAACAGAATAAAATTAGGTTGTTTCAGCATCATTTCAGTTTTGGTTTTATTGTTTATTTATTTCTTTATTATTGTGTAATGAAGTTTTAGAAAGAGTAATTTTTCACTAACTCTTAATTAGCACATTTAATATTATCTTTAATGAAAACAACTTAAAATTTACCATTCCTAGATACCCGGAGATAGGACTATTATAAGTTTTTTTTTTTTTGTGAAAAGTATTTAATAGCATTGTATTAAAAAAAATCTTGATCAAAACTTTAAATTTTTGAAAATAATATTTGCTTCGGCCGTATCATAGATTTCATCAATGTTCAGATAATTGAGGAAACTCGCCCAGGTTGTATGGGGCTAATGAATTTTATTGGATGATTCATTAACCATATGTATCAGTATACCATTGTCAAAGTTGCTCAAATATCGTATAATAACAATAAATATTAGTCTGAATTCAAGCAGTTTTCCGAACTATATATTCAACTAATCATTTAAAGCAATGACAGACTCGTACCGTCTTATTTATACCACGAGGACTAACAATATGATACTCTGAACTTTCAATTAAGGTTTGGATTACCTGAATATTGAAAATATGCTCACTAGTAGCAGAGAATTTCGTCAGTCCTGTCGAATTTCGGGTAGCTCTATGTTTATAGTTATTATGGTCAAAATTCTGTACTGTCGAGGTTACCCAAACTTTATAATAGTAAGTTTAGTAACGTCAACCCCTTTGATGGTTCTTAAAAACAATTTCTATACATAATAACTAATTATTTGCCTGAACATGAGGAGATTGTATAGCAATAACTTTTTTTTCACAGAAGTATGTGTAGGATATATTCATTTATTTATTTATCCAATTTTTTATCTTCCTCATTTATTTATATAATTACAAAATACAGTTATATAACATGAATATAATACATAAATGTCCAAGTATTCTTTTATTGTTATTTTAACAAACTAATAACTAAACGCTTTCTCTTATGTTAATTTGAATATTATTGTTTTTATTTAAATAATTCACTCGTCTGTTTCTTTGATAAATAATAAAATTGTTATTTGTTGGATAGCCGCCGATTAAATTGTAATTAAAAATTGTAATATTGGTTTGTACTGAGCTGTGTACTATCCCTTTAAATAAATAAATAGATCGCGAAAGGTGGTTGCTGATAAACTTTATAAGCATTTTTAATTAAAGAAATTCATCAATATTACTCTGTGAATACTTTAATGAAATATTAATTAATATTTCTGAAAATGTTAATAAATAAATACAAGAAAATACGACAGGATACTTAATAGTAACCTACTAATTTTACGTTGACTGTCCTTGTATTGGCGACGTAAGTTACACAATACATATGTAACTACTTATGCCAAAACATTCCAGTAGTTAGTGAAGTTAGTAATACTGATTAATATCCGGACTTTGTGAAGGAAAAACAATCATCAATCACACGACTAACTACCCCTAAGGAATAATAATATTATTTCTATTAGTATATTTACCTAAAGATGGACAGTATTACTCTTTCATATACATATACGTCTGTCACTAATGAGTAGGTATTTTGTTACACGCGGTCAAATGTTACCTTTGATGTGTTTTGGGGTTCCTCACGGAACCCTTATAGTATCACTCGGTTATATGTCCGTCCATATGTTACAGTGAAACGCACAAAGTATTAGACTGTCTCTGAATAAATATTGATTCAGAATTGTAAAAAAAAGTGTCAGGCGAATGGTATTATATTAATGTTTTCGGTATTATTTCAAAAAGTATCTGGAACTTCACAAAAACAAGGTACTTGGTAACAATCACGAGAAAAACTATCATTCAAACTACTTAGCAGATAAAGAAAGGTTAGCATTTTTCTCTTTTTCTTTATATACCTCCGTCCATTTATTTTCCAAAAAAGAAGTCGAATGTCACATATAAGTAAAGACACTCGAAGTCTTTATTGTAATAAAAACATCGCCTTTAACAACTGCTACTATCACTTGAGCCTTTTTACATATAAATTTACTGTCTGCACGAGCTTTAAAAGGCTCTCTAAAAGAAGATTACAGGCTGAAGATTTTGCCTTATATTTCAAACAAAGAGATAAAATTATTGTTATTATATTTAAACACGCTCACTTTAGCAACGAATTCAATGTTGCCGGTTTTTTCAGTTCATGATAATAAAAACATAAATTAAATTCAGTTTATAATTTATTCGCCGCAGTAATAAGACGTGCAAAATTCAGAATCATTTTATTACTATGAAATTTTTTTTTCTTAATGAAACGGTGAAAAATATCTCTATCAATTTAGTTGAAGTTCTTAAATTAATGCAAATAAAATAAATTAGTATTGAGGCTATTGATGATACTATTGATGACCAAATGACCGAGGATGGCGATAAATTGAAATCAGTGCGTAAACTCAACAACAGAGTGTATCAATGGGTGATTAGTGGATCATAACTTTTACTTACTTCTTCGAGACAGAAAATAGAGAACGAACGCTGAAGAAAAAGTAAATAAGATTGCCAATTAAACACTTATTTTTATGTATAAATCAGCTTCCATATATTTTTATAACTAATATAGGCACAGGGCCTAGCTATGGCCATTTAAAGTGTTACAAAATAGTAAGCTTTTACACATCGTAGCTGTTAACATAACAATGTCAGTTTTGCTATAACTCAATATTTTAAACGGTAAAGAAAAAGGTAGAATTTTCGTCTAAGCGTTAGTTCTAACCCTTTGAAGTCTCAAAAGGCCAAAGAGTGGGTAAGCCAATACCGGGTCATCTGCGCTAGTTGCCATTGGCACAATATTTTTTCAAAATTTGAGTGAATTTAGGTACAAAACACATAGCTACTTACATCCTCGTCTCTAACAGCTAATATCTTGTCCCCTAATCTCAGTCTTCCGTCGTGGTGAGCGGCGCCGCCGACGGCTATGTGTGAAACGAAGACGCCGCCACCACCCGCGGCGTCGTCCGCCCCACCCGCTATGCCTAACCCGAGGCCACGCGCGCCTCTCCATAATTTGACCACCCTTGGTCGCCGGGCTCTTCTTACGCGCTATATAATAACCCAAAGAAATTAAAAGTGTTAATAAAATATTTGTTAAAATAGAAACTTGATTCTGTAGTGGTTAACGCTTTCAGTTAACGATGCAAATATTAAGCTTTTTTCACAATGGCCAGCTATAGAATGAGTGATCAAAAATTTTTGGAGGCACGCTAAGCCAGGCCCCGATTTAATCTGCAGTGGTTAAATACCACAAATACTCTCTAGACAGTTTGGTGGGTCATTTTATCGCGTTATTTGTTTTATTGTATCGTGATATTAATATTAGAAGTCGGTGTAAGCATTGCAGGTCTTTCAGTAAAGAAAATTCAAATTTTAAAAGAAAACGTTGAAATACTTGAAGTAAAAATGGAATAAATACTACTCTATGAATAAAGTTATAATAATGGCCAACTGGCATGAAAAACATGTGCGGGTTTGAAGTCATGATATGCAAACTCTATGCTCGATATCAGTCTGCATACTCGATGCAGTCTATTATACATAAAACTACATCAAAGATCAAATTAAATTACTTACTTATTACTTAATGAAATTACTTACCAATCTTACAATATTCCCTGCTTGCTGCAACGCATCGACTGCAGCCGAATGTGGGGCTCCTTCTACAGGTACATTGTTAACCTAAACAATTGAAAACTCTTTACCGTTAAAATATAAACTCACTATCTGTTATTACATCGCTGGCCTTATACCACCCACGTATGATGTAGCTACCAAAAAGTAAAAAAAAAATTAAAATCGGTCCAATAGTTTCAGAGCATATTTGATGCATACAAACAAACAGACCAAAGAAATCAAAGCTTTCCTCTTTTATAGGTATTATTTATTAGTATATGTAATATTTGAGTGTATATTTACTAGACGAGAGGTCCTATCGTTTTTTAGCACGTCCAGTCTATTTACTGCCAGTCATTGGGTTAATTACCGAAAACACATCGATATCTCGAGCGCAAACTCGTGGTGGTTATAAATAAATAAATATTATAATAAAGATTTCATTGATTACATCCAAACTATAATCAATATAGAAAACTGAACAACACAAAAATAAATTATTATCTTACTAAAATTATAAATGCGAAAGTTTGTAAGGCGGTAGTGGTTTGTTTATCTTTCATACAAAAACTACTGAACGGATTTTGATGATATTTGTACTACAAAATGGTTCTAGGGATCACGCGGAAAATAATATAGAAAAGATTTTATATCCACATTGACTTGACGGAGAATTGTAACTCAACAATACCGGCGCATAAGTCAATTAGATACGGAGGTAACGCCCGATCTACTTGTGTTTATTGCTACGAGGAAAAATGTATAAAGACAATTTTGAATAAAGTTAGCATGTTCATAAGTTTTGAGATGAAATAAAAGTTACGTAACTTTTTCAATATTTAACTTTTATTACTAAAATTTTCAGAAACCTTTAAATAGATAATAATCTATAATAATATATATATATATTTTCCAAAATAACCGCCCTTGTTTTCAATACAGGTCCTTAGACGATTTGGCCAGTCATCAATGGCAGCACGAATCTTTTCTAGCGGAATTCGCTTTGCTTCTCGAACAAGGGTTCGTTTCAGTGACTCCAAGTTTGGGTGGAAATGAAATGAAAATTTCCTTATTCAAGTAAGCTTGTTTCAAGCACTTTTGAATAGTCCAAAAAAAATTTTCTCCTACCACTCGATCAGGACGTCTCTTAGCTGACAACAAGAACAAGCGAAAGAAACTTACCAGCTCTTTATCACAAATAATGACATTTACAAAATCATGTCATTACCAAAATAATATGTATTATCTCAATAATAGTAAAACTTTCTGTTGTTTATGTTTAATGACTTTCTATCTTTATCTATTATATTTACATTATACAGATTATCTATTTACTTCTCCATCTTGCACCCCCCCTATTTTTATTATATAGTTCATGTTTTTCTTTGCCTCGGGCTGCCTGGAAGAGATTGTTACGTAGCAATAAGGTCGCCCTTTGTAATCTTTCTCTTTTTTCTATCTTCTCTGTATTATGTCCTGTCTAGCGTGCAATAAAGAATATTATTATTATTAACTTTCAATGTCTGTAGGTCATAGTTTGTGCATACAGTTAGTCATTATAGAACAAAGCGAAGACTATTAATTCCATGCATTGCGGTCCTTAAAATAATCATAAACTTTATAATAGCCTTAACTCATGATTATGTTCTTTACATGAATTTTAAATTTATTTACGGGTAGATCAATTACATTTTGTGGAACTTTATTGAAAGTCTTTTTTGAAGTCTGGAACTGAAAATGGCAAGTTTATTTTTATTTCTTGTGTTAAGATTATGAACACTACTTTTTTTGTGAAGGAATCGTTTCCTTGCGTACATATTATTTTCATAACAGTCAAAATTTTTATTTCTTTTAATATTCTCTGAGAGATTACCTCGACCGTAAGCTATTATAGCGCAGACTCTTTTGTAGAATAAAAATATCTTAAATGCTAATCCCACAACAATAGCCCATACGTCATTACACATGAAAATAACTAAAATATACCAATCTCGCCATTTCAACATTTGTCAAGAGTTATTTTATAATTTTCTTAAAAGCAAAAACCGCAGTACTCAGTCTATTTGACAAGTTATCAATATGAGGATCCCTTTGCGGTCGGAAATCTAGTTAAATACCAAGAAACTTTGTCGATTCCACCAACTAAACTTTTTCATTATTTATATTTATAAGTGTACTAACATGCCTCACATTAAATGATGCATTTTTATGCATTTCGTTTTATTTGAATTAAGCTTTAAATTATTATTATCAAGCCACTGTAGAAAATTGTCGAGAGCATCGTTTATATCGTCAAAACAATCATTACCTCTCTTAACTTTGAACAGTAAAGAGGTGTCATCGCCGCGATGAAGATCGGCATATTCTCCCTTAACCAAGCTTGGGTGCTTTTTGTCTTATGGGGTGGGCCGAGTCTTGCTAAAAAACCCAATCCTTATTGTGAAATAACGTATCAGGCAGGGGTTTCACCATGGGCTCTAAAATGTCACTCTGATAATTCTTGGCTTTCACCTTGACACCTTGTTGGCAGAAATGGAGCGGAGTGACACCTTCATAGGAAACTCCCCAGCATACCATCACACTAGCCGTATAATGAATATGCAAGACATTCCGCGCAGAAGCTGGGAAGTCCTTGCTACTTTTAGAGTACATTTTATTGTTTTGTGTTTCGTTTGTAAAAATATTCTCGTCGGTGAAGAGAATTTTCCTGGCATCATGTTTCCTCAGCAGCAATGGACATCTTTCGCGTAGTAACTTACGAAGACGATCGTTTAAAAAGTGAACTTTTTTACGGCTATAGGCTTTAATCTTAAGATCATATTTCAGTATTCTGTTCACTGAAACGCGCGAAATATTAATCTGCAGAGCCAGTTTCTTCTGAGTGCGATATGGGTTTCAGCGAAATCGCTCTTGGATGATTTTGATGTTCGCAGGCGTCCTCACAGAGCATGGCCGACTGCTCCTTTGGCGATCTTGTAGAGAACTTATCTCTTTTTATTTCTGTATTGTGTAATAGACAAAGTTATGGCTTACAGGAAAACTTTCAGATCGCGCAAAATCTGCATCGACCCTTTCCCGCCTTAAATAGCTAAATTAAAAATTAAAAAACATTTTATTTTATTTTTTCAGTAAAACGTTTGTCTCAAAACTTATGAACATACGAGGTACAGGTTGAAAAAGGGTAAACTTACAGTTAATTTTCATTTATCTCTAAGAAAAATTATACATTGCTTCAATATGCGTGCATTTATTTCAAAGAAACTTTTTTTTAAAAGATTGGAAAAGTTATGCGTATGCGGATGTAGATGTGGACGTATTAGGGCTAGTATTTTAAAGACAGATGCAAATGTAGACCTCAAGGATTTTTAAATTTAAATAAATGCAAGAAAAAATAAACAAGTATTTTGGTATTTTAGCCCGACTCGATCATGTCAGCGCTTGGACCTCGTTCCAAATGCCACAGTGTTTAAGACAACCAATATTTGTTGATTTTATAATTTTTCCCTTCCTCTTACTCATAAATCAACTAGCACAAATTTAATTTGACAAAGAAAATAAAAAAAAATGTTGATGAAAAACATGGAAGAAATATCATTAACCTACAAATACCTATAAAAGGAGTCGAATGCTAAATTAACGGTAAAAGTATCTTAATTACGGGTCAGTAAGGTAGCAGAGGTCACGGCTTCGGTACCCGTGCCCACTAATAAATCAGATTACTGAATCTTTAGACGGTTTATGATGTCGTGAATAATTTAACAAGCTTATCTACTTATGCCCACATAAATTTATATTAAACAGCTTTTGAGAGTTTCCCGGTAACAATGTTATATTCATTTGTTTTTGTGTCTGGTATTTGCTTCTGAATTGTCGCTTTTTTGGGTCTTGTTCGTCAAATGGAAGTAAATATGAGTATGTCTTCATTGTATATCAGTTTGCCTATCGGAATACTTTATTTGGGCATATATAATGGATTTTAGTTGTAATTATTACTAAATACTTAAGGTTAGTTGCAACAATTTATTTTGTTAACCAAAAATTAATTCGAATTTTGCAATGGTTGGATGACGTCATAACTTTAACTGTAAATAACCGCCTAAATTTCTCTGGTTAAAGTTATTGTTAAAGTTATATACACGATTTAAATACATTTATTCAACCAAACAATTTTGATTTACCAATTCTATCTTTCTACATGGATTTACCAAAAATAACACGTTAAACGATTTTAATGCCTTAATTAAGGAATAATTTTATATAAACAATCATTTAATCATAATTATTTTGAGTCTAACCACAGAACATAATTAAATTAAATAATTGTATAAAAGTAAGTGAGCGAATAAAAAAAGTAACTGATGTTAAAGTTTTAATTGATTAATACTGACAAATTTAGTTAGTGATTTGACTACTGAGGCATCACTAATTGACTGAAGAACAAACTTGCTATTAAGTGGGTTAGGAATATTGGTGGGTAAAAATATCATAAAGGGAACAAGAAATATTTGAGAAATTGAAAAATATGTCCTACTTATTTGGAATGTCCTTAAATACAAAAAACCGTGGTCTGCTACGTATAAATGGTTGAATTTAAAAATAACTCTTGCCTGCTTTTAACCTAGTGTTTTGCCAATCTAACGTCCATGATTGAACTAGATAAGAACGAGGAAGTAACATTAGATCCATAAGGGGTAAAATATCTCAAGATAACTGGAAATTCCAAAGGTACACATATACTATTTAAATTATCCGCTTCGGCTATATTCGTCAAGCTTCGGCAATCCTAATGTATTTTAAAGATATCTATATAGAGTTGTTATTACATAATTAATCATTTCGCTAAATTGAGATTAGTTCAGCCAATTTAAAGATAAAAGTATACTGTGTTTCTTGCCATCAACTGATACCAAAATGAAAACCCCAGATTAAAGAAAATCGAATTAAGATAAATCGGTTGTACTAACTAAATAAGTTTCTGACACCAGTAAGTAGAATAGTTTTTTTAATAAAACATAGTTCATCAATTAATATAATCAATTAATCACAATTTGATATGACTTCTATAC